GTTGTCAATTTCTTTGTTCAGGAAAACTTAGTGGTTGATCTAATGTGGCTATTAATCGTGCCATTTCCATACGATCAACTTGCGGATCGTATTTCTACGTGCTTAGACCGCCGGTTTGGCGGTCAAACGATAATTGCGTTTGGCGGAGATCAGCTCCGCCTCCTTGCTTTTGAAGACACTTTTCAAAGTGTCTTCTTAAGTGTGTAGTGCCGTGAATAGTGTTACCTTGTAATTTCTCACCACAATATTTACATTGAGCTACGTATTTAATGTTACCGTTATTGTCGATCTCCTCGAATGTGTTGAAGTGCTCCCAAACTGCTGAGGTGCGCTTGCATTTCTTCTTAGAACTTGCAACACTTGCATTAGCACTACCGCTTGTCTCTCCTCCACGGCCACTTGTGCCACCACCATTATGTCCCCGACCTCTAGTACGTCCACCAGGGGTCAGATTTGCAGTTTCATCAGCAACTCTTTCCATAGTTTGCGATTCCTGCGTTTGAAAAATATTAAGAAATTACCCTTCTTCGATGTTGAATTGGGCATCAATGGGAATATCCCCACCATAACCAGAAGAAGCCATTATGAAATATAAGAGAGATTGAGAGTGCTTTGAGAGAGCTTAAGAGAGATCGAGATTCGAGAGAGATTTAAGCGAGATTAAGAGAGATTTGAGAGAGATTAAGAGAAATTGAGAGAGAATGAGAGTTTTTGGGTGAGAAAAATGGTTGGGGGGAGGGGGGTATTTATAGGAAAATTTTTGGGTTGAAAAAAAAAAATTTTCCCCCAAAAATTCGGGTCCAACGGCTACTATATTTTCGGGCAGTTCGAGCAAAATTCGGGCAGGTCGGGCAACGATAAGAAATCCGACCGTTGGGTTCAAATTTTCGGGTAAAATTCGGGTTCAGGTTAGGTTCGGGCAAAAAGACCCGTTTTTGCTCAAAATTCGGGCATTTTTTGGGCTAACGGTAAAAAAAAAAATCATGCATTTTTCGGGCAACGGTCACAAAAAATCGGGCAACAGTCAAAAAAATTCGGGCCGTTCGGGAAAAATTCGGGCAACTTCGGGTATTGCTGGAAAATTTAAAAAAATTCCGGCAAATGGCGGGGGACGACTTCTCCACGGCGGCGGGCTGTCGGGAGGATTAATATTTTCGAGCTACCCGAGCCCGTGCCCGAAAAAAACCGTGGTCGGGCGGCGAGAGGGCCCTGCCCGCCGTGCCTGAAAATTTTCGGGCACCGGGCATGCCCACCACCCGAAGTTGCAACACCGGTGACTTTTGGTCCCCGTGGATATGGAGTTCATCTCAAATCTGAACCACATAAAAATCTTGTGTTTGACTCTTCTATTTTCTTCTTGTGATTGTGCAACTTCGAAGCATTCTTTAATGTGTGGTGTTTGATCAAAAGTTTGTTAGATTCCTGTTTTGTTCAACATTTTATATCAAAGAAAGAATAATCCTAGTAAATTCAAGTACTGTTCTTAGATCACAAAAGAAAAGATATGCTAGTTGAAGTGACATCTATTCTTGTCTCTTGTGGGGTTGGGGACAAACAAGCAACGACGATTATTTTCTTTTTTTTTTCTTGTGTAGTATACATGTGAATTAGACTGATGCCTCGTTCACTTCGCGAATTCGAGTTTTCAATTCGTGCTGAAATGTGACATTTTCTGAGAGCTTTTCACTGTAGCAGAAAAAGTTAGATGTGACATTTTCTGAGAGCTTTTTACTGTAGAAACTTAAAACTCGAATCGGTGAAATGAACGAGGTCTCAATAACGCCCTTCTGAATGCACTTACAAGTACTAGGGATTACAATGTGGTGGGGCAGCGGTAGCTATGCTTCCTCCACCCTACTCTCTTTTTGTCTCTCACACCCGCTTTTATATGTGTATAATTTAAGGTTAAGTCGGGGTCGGAAAATACCTATAAGAGGAGTTATCTATGTACTTTACTCATTTATCCATTAAAAATTTAAAAAATACTTGTGACATTATCAAATTTAAAAAAAATAATAATTAAATTAGTAGAAAAATAAACAACATAACTATTAATATGTCATAAACATAAATTGAAATCTTAATGTCAAATCTAAACTCTAACAATAACAAACCGAAAGTTTAAAAACTAAAGTGTACATATGTAAAGAGTATATGTAATCAGGGTGAGGTTGGGTACGGAAGGGCTTCTCCAGCCCCGCCCCACCTCCAAATCAGGGTTAATTTTTGACCTATATCCGCCCTCACCTCCATTTAATGTCTTATATACCTGTCCTAATGGCTCATTCGTATTAAATGTATTCTAATAATAAGATTTTGAAATTCAAAATAGATTTAAACTCAATTCATACTTTAAAAGGCCGGATTACCAAAATACATTAAAATATTGATGCTTTAATATTAGAAGTATTAAAGTTGAAATTTATTATAAGTTCGAGAGGAATTTTGTACCGTTTTAAGTTGTAGAGATAAATTAGACAACTGCAATTTAACTGTAGAGATAAATTAGACAACTGCAATTTAACGAGGGTCAAATTTAAAATTAGTCCTTTTTATTCTTTATGTTAATTACTTCTTAAAAATATTTTGGTATGCTCCCTCACTCAGTTTGAAGGTTGTCTCCAACGATCTCTAACATAGACTACAATCGGAAATATGATAGTGAAGCAAACACCAAATATTTTGTGAAGCAATGCTAGATTGAAATACAAGAGACTAGATTGCTCCTAAAATCAACAAAATTATGTTTTGTGTTGCGTAAGATTCCTAGAAAAGGGGGGAAAAAAGAGAAGGGATACAGAATATATGAACCAAAATGTACATGTATAGCAAAGAAAGAAACACTACAAAAAAGATGGATGATACAAAAAAAAGTACTTTTTTATCAAACACTATCTAAGCTAACACGAGCAGGGGATGGAGATGGATTATTCCGGCAAACGGGACAAGTTCCATTCAAGCGTAGCCATTCGTCAATGCACTCCGCATGGAAGCAGTGTTTGCAATCCGGGATACATCGCAGGGTCTCCTTGCTGCAATACTCAGATAAACATATGGGGCAAGTGATATCATTGGGTCCAGGCAACCGCCGGCTCTCTCCTAAAACGAGCTTTTGATAAGATTCAATGGTGGTTTCATCCAAACCCATCATGACAATGGCAGGTTCTGGTCCTTCGGGTGCTGCAGCCACCGCGGTTGTGCTCCGTCGTGCATTGAGATGGTTAGTCCTGTCTACAAAGCAGGCAAAGCAGGCGATCCCAACTGCGCATGTGATGGCTGGCACAGCAATGGAAAAGCAAATGATCCGAAATAGTTTGAGGCCATCATTTGATCCATCTGAAATTTGGTTATTTTACAAGTAAGGTGTTATTTTAGATCTCCACTTTATCCAATTCAATTTTGTGTCCTAAGTCATTAGTAATTGAAAAAAATAAATAAATAAATACAATGGGTGAGAAGAAGCCATCAGCCATAATCACTTTCCAAGAAAGTTTCCTCAATTGGATTTTTGGAGTTCTTTTGCTTAGAATAGTATAGGTGAGTTTTTATGCCACTTTTTTACTCACTACTGAGATCTTGCCTAATTGGCTGTTTAAGAGTCACTGGACAAACACGCTTGGTGGACCAATGGGTGGTCGCTTCATCTTGAACCTTTAGGCTTATTGAGCAACTAACCGTTCACCCAATTCGATAGATCCTGAGGACCTAATTATATATCTTGGTGGAGAATTTGATAAAGGTCATCTATTACCATGACCTATTGGGTAAAAATGGATTCTAGAGTAGTGCAAGGTAGAGCTGAAATTTGGATTGGGAATGGAAAGAAATTAAGGCCCGTTCACTTCACCGATTCGAGTTTAGAATTTGAGTTTTGCTACAGTAAAAAGTTCTCAGAAACAGTCATATTTAACTTTTTTACTACAGTAAAAAGCTCTCATATAAAATCACATCTCAACTCGAATTACAAACTCGAATCAACGAAGTCAACAGGCCATAAGTATATTATATATATATATATATATTCTATCAGTCGTCACAAGATAGAAGAACTTGATGGCATCCATATCCTACGGGTGCCATTCAGTTGACATTGTTTACACAAGTCAAAAATACTAATTTATCTAATACACGTATAATGCCGTACTACACTAGCTTTATACTGATACAAGATTCATATGTCATGCATGATTTAATTATATTATTGACCTCGATAAACAAGGCAATTTGTTAATCTTACCAAAGGTGGTAATCAACTAATCTCTGACCGAATCAGAAAGTAACCGCGCTTTCTGTTAAGGCAAATATACTGATCGGAAGGTAACAAAACGATGTCTCGGGAAGAAATTTGCATACCTTTTCCGGGAAAGTAGAAGCAGCCAATATCTTGGCTAATGTTGCTTTTGAATCCACAAAGGCCACCTTGGGCTTCACAGATGCTGCAATCAGGTTCATACCATGTCAAATGAAGATCGTTATTGAGAGCGCTCGAGAATCCTTCATCATATCGAACAGGCCTCGAAACCGGGACTTGTAATGTGCTAATAACCTCACAAGAAGCAGACATTGAAGTGGCAAGACTCATGGAAGAAGTGGCTAAAGCCGAGTGTGTTGAATTGCTGAGACAATCGATGGAAGTGTACCGGGACTTGGTTAAGGAAGATGGGCACATAAGGAATGTGAAGTTCTGATAGAAAGCTGAAACAAAAGGAGACCCTGAAAGATTGAAGGACAAAAGCCGACGAGGAAGGCATTTGAAAGGATCATAGAGAAGTATCTCTTGAGTGATGTAACTGATTTGTCGAACAAAAAACTCCCCAGAAAAAGGGAGTTTGAGAACTGTTAGATTCTGGCTGTTACAGGTCAGGTCGAAACCGGGGTAACCGCAGTTTTGCAGGTTCTGGCCTTCTAGCTGAAAGGGGAATCTGATAGGGATGCTTTTGTTGTCACACATGGAAATTTGACATTCTTCTGATGCAAATATAATGGGAAAGAGAAAGAAGATGAGGAAAAAGAGGACATCAATGGTGCCCATATGTTGAAAGCCTGAATCTAAGAGAGGGGAAGGTTAGTGTGCAATAGTGATGGCTTATGTTAAATGTCACTCAATATTTAAATAGTTAGGAAAGTCGAGATAGTATAAAATAATGGTATTGCCTGTGTAGAGCAATATAATATATTTAAGTAGTGGTGGTGAATGCTTTTATTAGCCATTATCAATTAATACACCAGATGCCTTAAGGGAAGACCGAAAGAAATGGAGTATTTATATCAGTTTTCTGTCAAATCCAAAGTGGGATATCCAATCCTAGATATGGGGGGGCCATTCATTATTCCCAAACAAAGTAGTATTAAAAAACCTTAAGAACTACAACAGAACATGAATATGTGTATCAAGTCCACACTGCACAGCAGGACATGGAGTATTTATGAGATGTACAATTGACTTCTGTGGAGTATTTATATCAGTTTCTGTCCCCTTTTTTGAACAAATTCTGAGCGAAAATATATGAGTATGTGTACCAAGTCCAAACTGCAAAACAGAACATGGATGACCAAATCTCTCTCTCTCTCTCATATGAGGAATCAGCAGGCAAACAACTTTATGGTTAGCTATTTTTTTAAAATCCGCCAAAAGAAAAAATGGCTGAACGAATACTACACCAAACGGTAACTTTTTCTTTCTTTTCACAGGCAGTTCCTTTGTATTATGTTCTCGTTAGAAGTTGAAGAAATTACAGGAGTTGCTGAGTGATCCGGATAGAAACAACTTCTCCATCAGGTCCAGCTCTCATTGCATGGTATTTGATGTGAAGTCCTGGAAGCGAGAAAACAGAAAAGGCAAGTTATTAGTTACTTGGTTTGCAAAACAAAGTTCCGTGAACATCTGTATAAACTTAAATTAGAGCTACTACCTGATAACATTTAGAGTGATTTATTGACGGATATAAAGGAAGAGTTCTGCCTTCATTTTTCTGTAAATTGGTGTTAACAGCGACTGTGTGGAGACTTATCACAGCCCTTGGTTGCCAGTCCATTGGTTTTCCAACCAATGGCTTGAGATTAAAGATTGCTTTGCTGCCATTTTATTTAGAAATTAAATCAGATCGACTTATAACCGCACGACAGAAATAGCTGATGTTCTTCTTCTTCTTCTTTTCCGGCTAATCAAGGTGATGTTCTTGTTAACATTGATTGATATGTGACCAAGGCAACAGAGTTCTATTAATTCCATTGAACAAACACTAGTAAAAAAGCCACCAGTCAATCTATACAACATTGAAACCCATTATAAACAACTTGTTCATGTTATTAACTGTTCCTAACTCAATTTAGATGACACAATTATTAGAATCACCTTGGCCACTTGTAGTAAGTGGTTCCATAGTAGGGCATTTTCCTAAACAATCGCTTTCAAAAACACTGCTAACTAATCATTGTCTCATAGGTATACCAGTTTTAAGTATCATGCCATTTTTTCATTGATCTTATGGTTAGCAAATTAACTGTAAGGAATATTTTTACCGGATGTCAATGAGTCTGCGAGGTGTTTGACATCAAAACTAGCCCCTGACGCTCCATCTATGTGGTTTTTGATATCACAGGATCCTGCAACATCGTAATCCCAGCTCCCATTTTGGTACCCCTCGCTCAGGAATAGTTCTATGTGTCTTGCATCTAAAGCCTGCATTGTTCCTGTAAGAGCAACACAATATTTTAACGTCATGTTTTCGAATATAAGAATATAAGACAAATAAGCAAATTAAGATTAAGTGGACAGGCACCGAAGGCAGTTTGCTAGCGAGGTATCACCACTAAGTAAGAACTTGTTTCTTATAACTAAAATCACATTTCTAAACTCTTTTATCACATATATCATATGATAGTGTCGTCTCCAAATTGGTTGAAAATTCAATGGGCACACAGTATATTCTTTCTTTCTTTTTCTTCTTTTTTTTCTTTTCGTTTTTTTTTTTTTTTGTTGTCCTCACCATCATATGTGTCGAGGTCACAGACCGGGCAGCGAACAAGCTGAAGATCTGTAAGAATCATACGTAGGTGACTAGTATTAAAATGATGACATTAAGCATAGGAATTTTAAGGCTTTAATAATAATAATAATAATAATAATAATAATAATAATAATAAAAATCATAATAATAATAATAATAATAATAATAATAATAATAACAATAATGATAATAAAGATAATAATGATAATAATAACAATAATAACAATAATAATAATAATAATGATGATGATAATGAGAATAATAACGATGATAATGAGAATAATAACGATGATGATGATAATAACGATGATAATGACAATGATAATGACAATGATAATGATAATGATAATGATAATGATAATAATAATAATAATAATAATAATAATAATAATAATAATAATAATAAGAATAATAATAATAATAAAAATAATAATAAGAATAATAACAACTACAAGAACAACAACAAGAACAACAACAAACAACAACAACAACAGAAACTAACTTACATTTGACCCCAAGAACAAAGCCAAAATTAAATTTGACTTTCCTGTATCAAATAATCCCAAAAGGACACATTTCTAATTGTAACATTAATTGATAACCTTTAAAAATAGAATTTGACTTTTCTTTCACAATAATTATTTTCGAGCCAAAAACTATTTCTTAACTGCCACATGATTTTTTCTCTAAATGGCTGCATCAATAATGTTGTCAGCAAAAGGATGAGCAAAATAATCACTTTACTTTAAAAACTGTCCAACCCACAACTTTTCAAGCGATGTGGTGTGGCTTTATACTTCGGGGTTTTGGTTTGGTGCCTAATTAGTGCTTAATCGCAAGGTGCAGTTTGGTTTACAGTTAAAAATTTTCAAAACCACAATTTACTACATTGCACTTTAAGTATATTTTCATCAGTGAGATTTTATACATTAATTTGTTTCATGATTTTATATATATAATTATATTCCTATTATTTAGTATTATCTTGTACACATGTTTTTTTTTCTTTTGTAAGATAAACAAAGACTTCAGAAAATAAATATGATGTGCTTATATAAAGAAATTAGTATTATGGTTGTGGTTTATTCTAATATATATTGAGTATTTTCTTGTTATATGTACATACATTAAAAGAAAGTTATTTAGACAAATGTGCTTAGTTCTTGTTAGGTCTAAGTTTGTAAGCTATAAGAGTATCTCTAATATCAATTGTATATTTGACATTAAAAAGTATGATCATAAGTCGTGTTATTTTCTTCTGTACTCTAATGTATAATGGTATTTAAAATGCTAAATTTACTTTTTCCTATCATCATTAAGCTTTGAAAATTATAAAAGTAGACTTTTAATTTTTAAAATAATTTTAAAATGTAAAATTTGCAATGATTAAATGAAAAGGTAAACATATCAATCAATAGTAATTAAATGTCAAATTTTTCATATGTTATACTTGATGAGAAATTTACTATAATGTACAACGTATGAAAACTTTGGCACTACAAATAGCATTGAATTGGATAGTGTTTTTTACACTCAAATGTTAAATTTATAATTAGTACATAAGTTATAGGATTGCATTAGAGATCCTCAAAGGGCTAAACTACTCGTTTTACTAAGGAAAAAAAAAAAAAAACAAAACAAAAATTAAAGTACAATCTAAGAAAGCATCCTACCATTTTCTATTGGACAACAAATTATTCTCTCTTTTACAGTGATGGATCTAGGATTTGAATTCATGTAGGGCATAAATATGAATCAGAATAATAATAAAAAATTAAGTAAAACTTCCAACATCTCTTAGTAATAATTTTTTATTAAGTGTTATGCATACTACGAAATGATATCATGTATATTGTTAATATTAAAATCAACGTCCTTCTAGAATTAAGAGAGTTCTTAAATTGAGAAAGTCACCACATCTGCACATTAGCAAATTAAGAAAAGAAAACAAGGGAAACCATTGTTTAACTAAAAACAGAAGGAGATAAAAGTAAAATTTGCTAAATTACTAATCTATGTCGTCCACTAAAGCAGAATCAATGTTTTTGGCAGACAGGAAGATACATTTTTCCTAGAGATGCAAGAACGGGCCTGCCCGGCCCGTTCTTCTAAGGTCCATGCAGGCCGTGGGCCTAGCGGGCTCAGCCCATGAATTTTGTGGGCTAGGCCGGGCTGGCCCATATAAGAATGACTTCGGTCCAGCCCACACCACAGGCTAATTTTACATGGGCCGTGCCGCGGGCTAGGATGGGTCGCGCTATGGACCTTGAATGACCCGGCCCACTCAAGGCCCATCATGGGTTTAGATGGCCAGCCCATATAAGCATGCAATTTTTAATTTTTTAATTTTGAATTTTGAATTTTTAAACAAGTTAACAAATAAATAAGTTTGAATAGTCAATGGAAATATGAAAAATGATATTTTATTTACGATTACCTCATTAAATAAAAATCTTTTTAAGGAAAACCCAGTGGGATAAAATCTTAGTAAGAAAAAAGAGTACAATAAAGATAATTACACATAAGATGTTTACAAAATTACAAAACAAAGGAAAAAAAAAACATAAAAATATTATGGGCCTAGATTAGCCGGGCTATTATGGGCTTAGATAGGTCGAGCTGGGCCTGTCCATCGTAGGCCTAGACGGGCCAGTCCAAACCTAGGCTGGGCTGGCCCGTGGGCCGATATATGTTGGCCCAGCCCAGCTCACAAATATTTATGGGTTAGGTCGTGCCTTGAACAGTGACGGGCCGTGCCAGCCCGGCCTATCACTATATTAGGATGGGCCTGGGCTGGCCCATGAGGCTCAGCCCATTGTTGCATCTCTAATTTTTTCTTAGAGAAAAAATGATTCGGTGTGGCTCATTTCATGAAATTACCACGTGTCATTATACGGTCGTCCTTTATCCACGTGGCACGAAACTATTCCTCCGCTAGCGGGCGTCCACGTGTAAATAAATAATCGGAGAAAAAAATTGAGCTCAGTAAGCATGGAGTAGACAATCTCTCGCAAGTTGTGGCTGACAATCCCATGCCGCATGTCGTTGTCTCA